ATCCAAGTATAGGTTTCGTATTAGCACAATTAAATGTTCTGGGATTCCCATTCTTCTCAGAGTCAGCCACAGTTTGTTATGATCCACACAGTCAATAGCGAAGAGGCATATTGCCGGTACAGAGGAAAAGCCATCGGGAGGAGGTGCTGGGGGGACACAGAGAGCGCGCCCCTGGGCAGACAGGAAGCCTGGAAGCTGCGCACCGGCGGAATCCAATGATACACAAAAAAAAAATTCACCATGAGAAAGTGGTATTCATAATAGGTATGCAACTATGGTTCAACATAAGAAAAACAATCAGTATAATTCATTGCATTAACAAAACAAAGAACAAGAACCACATGATTCTATCAATTGATGCAGACAAGGCCTTTGACAAAATCCGACATGCTTTCCTGATTAAAACACTCAACAAAATAGGATTAAAGGGGGATTTCTTCAACATAGTAAAAAAACCCCATATATATGCAAACCCAAGAACCAACATTGTTCTCAATGGAGAGAGATTAAAGACATTCCCCATGAGAACAGGAACTAGGCAAGGATGCCCACTATCACCTCTCAATATTTCTTGGAAGTCTCAGCGATAGCAATAAGGGAAGAGAAGGAAATAAGAGGTATTCAAATTTGCAAAGAGGAGGTAAAATTATGCAGATGATATGATAGTTAGAAAACTTAAAAGACTCAGCAAGAAAACTACTGGGCATAGTTGACCAATTGAGCAAAGGGGCAGGATACAAGATCAACATACAAAAATCAATTGGATGTCTCTACAGTGACAAAGAGAACACAGAACAGGAGCTGAGAAAAACAATACCCTCACAATAGTTAATCACATGATTAAATATTTAGGAGTAAACCTAACCAGAAGCACAAAGGATCTGTTCAAAGATAATTACAAAACATTATTACAAGAAACAAAAAGAGAACTGGAGAGGTAGGAGAATATCCCTTGCTTATGGATAGGAAGACTCAATATTGTGAAAATGACAATACTACCAAAGGCAATTTACACTTCCAATGTAATTCCAATACAAACATCAATTCCATTCTTTAACGAGATGGAAAAGGCAATCTCCAATTTCATTAGGAATGGAAAGTGGCCCCGAATAAGCAAAGCACTCCTTAAATAGAGAAACAGTGTAGGGGGCATCTTACTCCTTGATTTCAAATCCTACTACACTGCCATGGTGGTTAAGACAGCACGGTACTGGTAAAATGACAGACACATAGATCAGTGGAATATAATCGAGAACCTGGAAATCAGCCCATCTACCTATCATCAACTGATTTATGACTAGGAGATGAAATCAGTTAAGTGGGGAAACAACAGCCTTTTAAACAAATGGTGCTGGCAAAATTGGAAAACTATCTGCAGAAAACTCAAGCAAGATCCACACCTCACTCCATATAAAAAACCCAACTCAAGGTGCATCATGGACCTAGGACTAAAACCAAGGACTATAAACTTCATTAAAGAGTAGTTTGGAAGAACTGTAGAAGTCCTAACCCACAACAGAAACAGTCTTCCAAGTATCCTGAAAAATCTACAACCAGGAGAAGATAAAATAGATGAATGGGACCTCCTAAGAATCAAATCCCTATGTACATTCAAAAACTCCAACAAGGTAAAAAGGGAAGCCACAGACTGGGAAAAAGTATTTGGTATTGACATACTGATAAGAAACTAATATCTAGAATTAATAAAATACTCGAGCACCACAAGATAAATGTAAACAATCCAATTGAAAAATGGGCACAGGATATGAACAGGCACTTCACCAAAGAAGACATTCAGATGGCAAACAAATACATGAAGAAATGTTCAAAATCTCTAGCTCTAAGAGAGATGCAAATCAAAACAACTATGAGAGATCATCTCATCCCAGTAAGAATAGCAAAACACAACAGCAAACAACAAATGCTGGTGAGGTTGTGGAGAAACTGGAACCCACTGTTGGTGGGAGGGTAAAACGGTGCAACCACTGTGGAAGGCAGTATGGCGCTTTCTCAGAAAGTTGTAAATATAAATACCATTTGACCCAGCAATTCCACTACTAGGAATATACCCTAAAGAGACCATAACTGCCATCCAAGCAAATATATGCACACCCATGTTTATCACAGCTTTGTTCACAATAGTAAGAAGTTGGAAACAAAAGTGCCCATCAACAAATGAATGGATAGAGAAGCTGTGGTATATTCACACAATGGAATACTGTGCTGCATTGAAAAACAAGGAACTCATGAAATACTATTCAAAATGGGTGAACCTAGAGGACATTATGCTGAGTGAAATAGCTCAGTCACAAAAAGACAAATATTACATAGTACCACTGTTATAAAATGGGACTGACATTGGGGCTGGGGAGAGACTGAGAAAGATGGGATAAATTATGTTTATTGCATTGAAACAGATGAGGGAGAAAGCAATTTAAAAGGGACATCTGATTAGGTAGTATTGTCATGACAGGAGTTCAGAACGAAGGTTGCATAATGGAGCAGACTTGGGGGGAAGGATTGTATAATAATGAAAGGATTTTTCTTTTACTTTTTAAAGAGAAGAGAGGGCTGGGGTGGGGGGGGGAAGAGAAAAGTGCAACAATGGATAATGGAAATAAAAAAAAAACCCAACAAACCAAAGGAGGAAAAAAAATACCCCATAATCTGTTAGAGATAAGGAGAAAAAAATTACTTTGAGTGAAAGTTAAGAAATCATATGCGGTTTTCCTTCCAGATTATTTTCTTTTCTTGAAAGTATTTTTTTTCCCCTATGCATAATAAATTCTTAAACATAAAAAAATATTGTAGGAGTCTAGGCTCTTAAATTTCTTGGATGATTATTAAACATGAGAGGGAAAGGGAAGTGAAGATCAGTAACTAGATAATAGACAGGTATTAAAATAGTTAAAGGGAAAGGCAGTATGTAATAAAGGGATAATCACAGTATGAAAGAAAGGGAAAACACAGAAAGGCTTACAATAAATACAACCAACAAAGATAAAAGGATTCTATATCCAGTCCTGGAATATCAGCAACAATACACATTAATCTACAAGTGGACAAGCATGTGAACAGGTAAGGACTGCAACTATGAACAACCTAGGTACGGTGAGGACATGACCGCAGATCTATTAGTGTGCCAAATACTTCCTAATGGGATCATGGCAGCCTACAGTGTGTCCTATCCCCCCACACTTCTGAAGCCTCCCAAGAGCAGGCTAGATGCAGACAAGGAAGCCAACTAAGGTAGGCCTCTGTGTGGATATCATTTGCAGAAACTGGAGAGCCTGGGAGCTCCCCCCAGAAAAGAGCGTGATTCCCTGGAGCTTCTGTCCTGAGTTTGGACTCCAGCCTCCTAAACGCTGTGGACAGAAAATTCTTTTCTTTGAAGTTGCTCACTTGCATTGTTTGTGGGCGGGCACCAGGCTCAGCCTGCCATAGGGGAACACACTATTGCAGAGCGTCTGACTTAAATTCTTGTTTACAGACAAGGAAATCAGGTGCAGAGTTCCACTGTGGGCCTGGAGCAGCAGCTTGGCCTTTTTCTTGACCCTCTACAGCTGAGGTGCTTTCTGTGACGAGTGTGTGGACAGGGTGAGTGGGACAGAGCCTTAGGAATGTCTCCCTGATCCGCTTTAGGAATGAGATGCAGGCTTTGTGGAAGTGGGCAGGCTCCCCAGGGAAAGGAGGCCACACAGCTGGCATTACTGGTCCTCTCTTTCCGTAAGGTGGGGACATATCCCTGGCAGTGTGGCCAGTCTGGCTCAGTTTTTGGAGCCCTGGACAAGCATCCCATGTGGAGAGCAGTCCCAAGCTTGCTTTCCTCCACTAGTGTTTTATCATATTCTTTGATTTCATAACAACCGGGTGGTCCCAAGAAGTGGAAAGAATTATCTCCTAGTAAGAACTTCCCCCCAAGGATGGAGCTGTACCCAAGGAAAGATGTTTGTCTTGGTTTTTGGTGGGACCAGAATTTGGTGGACAACCCTGGACTTACTCCTCTGGGCAGCAAGGACATCTGGAGTGGAGACAGGCTTGCTAATCTTTGTAGGACCTTGGCTGGGAACAGGAGGCGGGGGTCAGATAGTGACATGCATGCTGTGAGACCAGGACACAGAGCTTGCTGAGGGACTGTGGGCTGGAATTCAGCCCATCCGGCTCCTCAGCCAAGTGTCCTTGAATAGGGCAGCAGCTGGCTGCCCTGGGAGAGGACAGCCATGTGAAGGAGCTGACATTGGAGCAGGCAAGGCACAGTCTCCCTCCTGAGCTTCTGGAGAGAACAGGGCCATGCTGATGCCCTGAATCCAAACCTTTGGCCTCCACATGTGAGACAATAAATCCTGGCTCTTATGATACCCATTTGTGGTATTTTGGAAATTAATATAGGTAGGTAGTGAGAGAAACAGAAAGATGCCTTCAGAGGGTGGAAGGTGGGAGGAGGTCAGATGGCCCACAAAGTCTGTCGCCAGGACTCCCTCCCATCTCCCAGACAGCCTACCCCAGGCCTCACCTTGGAGTAGGTGGCTCCATTGATGACTTCTCCCTTCCTCAACCAGATGATGGAGGCTGCGGGCTTGGCATTGTCAGCATGGCAGGTGAGGTTGAGGGGATCTCCTGCCCGCAGGCTGATCACGGGCCCCCCTAGGATCACGGGGTCATCAGGTGGCACTGTGGGGAGATGGGCAGAAGTCAGGCTGAAGGTGCCCCTTGGTAAATTGTATGGTGATAATGGGAAACAATAATTATTGGACTTTAAGAAAAGGTATTGAACAGTAATGACAGGAGCAGCAGTATTCTCCAGCATACCCAGGCTTATTTGTGGAGGATTCTCATCTTAGTCCCACTTCGGTTCAAGTAAGGGTGTGTGTGTGTGTGTGTGTGTGTGTGTGTGCAGTCTCATTAGTCTTCATGTTACAGTGGGGACCAGACACTGAGTTAGACCTGCTATCTAAGGTTGAAAAAACCCCAAAGGGTTACTACACCTGTTGTCTTATTTAGTCATCACAGCAGCTTTATGAGGTGAACATCAACATTATATCCTAGTTACACATGTCTGGACACTGAGGCACTGAAGGATGAAGTAACTTGCCCAGGGTCACTCAGAAACAGACTGAAGGTGCCAGGCTCTGTGCCCTACTTTCTATACTGAGGCAGTTTTCAGAGGGGCTGTGCAATCTTTGTCGTGTGACATCTTTGGGGTTGAGTAGCCTTTGGGATATGTATTCTTTATGGTGTGTAGTATTCAGGGTATGAAGTTTGGGGTGTGTCATCTTTGGAGTGTGAAGTTTGCAGTGTGCAGTCTTTGGGGCATGTAGTCTTTGGGATGTGCAGGTTTTGGGGTATGTAGTCCTTAGGGTATGAAGTTTGGGGTGTGTAGTCTTTGGGGTGTGTAATCTTTAGGGTGGGTTTCCCTGAGCACTTGATTCTTCAAGAACATCTCACCCTACTGTACCAGACTCAGGGCCACTCTCTTGTGGTCTGGCTGTCCCTCTGGGGTGGTCATATCCTCTAGGCTCCATCCTTTGATTGCAGCTCCCAATCCTTGCCTGTGCCGCACCTCAAACATTTCCATAGCAACCATTCTCCTTGCCCACTCTAGCTTCCTAGAAAACAGGCCAAGAATCTATAGGTCCAGATAGTGCCAATCCCCATTTTTCTATTTCCTCTGCAAAAATCACCCCATTTGGACTTCCAGCATGCAATTACTGTCTCTACCCCCACCCCGGCCCCAGGATCGTGGCCCTGGGGTAAGTTGGCCTCTTTGGGAAGGCTTCCAGCCCTGCTCAGCTCTCTTGGAGGCTCATGAGCCCCTATCCCCAGGAAGCTGGGCTCTGTGTGGAAGGTGACTGGGCTGAACCACTAGGCCTGGAGGAAGTGGCTGTTGTGGGCTGAACAATGACAGTCTCCTCCAGGCCCACCCACCTAACTACTCACTCTTGAGTCCTTACCTCTGCCTTTTAACCAATGTGGGGTAGACATACTGGCTGGCTCAGACATTTTGTAAATGGACAGGCAAGACTAGTTGCAAATGGAGAATTTCATCTCTATGCAATTGGCCAGGTTCTGTCAGTAGGAAGAGCTGAGTTTGGGCAGAGGAATCTGCCTTGACCCTTCAGAAAAGTCTAGGCCTCCTTCCCCTTCCTTCTGTGGTGGCAGTGGCGGTGAGACATGACCCTATGTTTGCTGAGGCCCGGGAAAATGGCAAGTACCCCCTGGAGCTTTGTTGTGAGTGGGACCACATTGTGATACCCTGCCCATCTGTCATCCTCAGGGTCACTTGGGAAATGGAGTATCATGCTCCCATAGAGCTTCTATGACCAATTTCCAGAAGAATTCCAGACATTTCTTCCTGGTCTCTCTTAGCTGAAGTTCTGCTGAACCTTGCTCATCAGTGCAGATACATACAAGCTTCCCTGGCAGGTGGGTTGTGATTGTACATTCAGTGCCTGGCTAGGTACTGAGCCTGGTGTCTGCATCATTGTGCACATGTAGAGTTTTAGGGGCAGAATAAACACTTGATCCATTCTCATCTCTGTAGCCTCCACTAAGTGATCCAGGTACTGAGTTGAGTAGCATGGCATTGTGAAATCCATCCTAACTCAGGAGGAGGGAGCAACAAAAGTCATTGTTGCCCTGTAATTTCATATTTGAAGGCATAAAATGAGAAAAGTTGAGAGGACACACCCATCCCAATTACCCCCGTCACTGAATCAATCCACGGGTCTTCCCCTCCTGCGCTGTCCCTCCACTCTGCCCAGCATGATGTCCCTCTCCAAAGACCTGTCTCTCCTTACAACATGTCCAAATTATGTCAGGCGAAGCCCCAGAATCCTTGCCTCCAAGGAGCAGCCTGGTTTAACCCTCTCTAAGATGAATCTATTTGTTTTCTTGGCAGTCCATGGTACATTCAGTACTCTTCTCCAGCACCACAGCTCAAAGTCGTCAACTCTTCTTCTATCCTCCCTAGTCATTGCCCAACTCTCTGATGCATAACAAGTGATTGCAAAAACTATGGCCTGTACAAGGCGCACCTTAGTCTCCAGAGAGACACCGTTGCTCTTGAGTACTTTAGAGAGGTCCCTAACAGCAGACTTTCCCATCACAATATGTTTTTTGATTTCCTGGCTACTGGTGCCAAGAGTGTTGACCATGGAGCCGAGCAAACTGAAGCTGTGAACAATCTCAATCTCTTCGCCATCCATCCTGATGCTACCAATTGGTCCAGTGGTGAGAATCTTTGTCTTCTGGACATTGAGCCTCAGTCCATATTGAAGGCTGCAGTCCTTGACCCTCTGCAACAAGTGCATGAGGTCCTCCTCAGTTTCAGCGAGCAGGGTTGTGTCATCTGCATAACGCAGATTGTTGATAGATCGCCCACCAATCCTAACACCATGCTTCTCCTCATGGAGCCCAGCCTCTCAGATAATCTGCTCTGCATACAGGTTGAAAAGGTATGGAGATAGGACACATCCCTGGCATACACCCTTCCCAATTTTGAACCATGCAGTGTTGCCCTGCTCTGTTCTGACGACTGCCTCTTGGTCCAAGTATAGGTTTCGCATTAGCACGATTAAATGTTCTGGGATTCCCATTCTTCTCAGAGTCAGCCACAGTTTGTTATGATCCACGCAGTCAAATGCCTTTGCATAATCAATGAAACACAGATAGACATTCTTCTGGTATTCTCTGCTTTCAGCTAAGATCCATCTAACATCAGCAACAATATCCCTAGTACCACGACCCCTTCTAAACCCAGCCTGGACTTCTGACAGTTCTCTGCTGATGTACTGTTCCAGTCGTTTTTGGATAATCTTCAGTAGAATCTTGCTTGCATGTGAAATAAATGATATTGTTCTGTAGTTTCCACACTCAGTTGGGTCGCCCTTCTTTGGGATGGGAATAAATATAGACCTCCAACAAACACCTTATAATACTTTTGTATTATAATTGCCTCCTTAAATACCCTTTAACAATTTAAAATTGATACTTTGTACTTCCTTAAGTTTACTCATGCCTTTGAATTGTGGTGTTGGAGAAGAGTATTGAATGGACAGCCAAAAGAAAGAACAAGTCTGTTTTGGAGGGAGAGCAACCAGGGTGTTCCTTCGAGGCAAGGATGATGAGACTTTGTCACACACTTTGGGCAAGTTGTTGCGGGGGGCCATCCTTGGAAAAAGATATCATTGTGAGAAAGGAAGGTCAGAGAAAGACCCTCAATAAGAAGGACTGACAAGAAGGATTGGTGTTTCAAATAATGAGCTTGAATATATGAGAGGCGGTGAGGATGGCACAGGATAGGGCAGGGCTCGGATCTGTTGTTCATAGAGTTGCTGTATGTATGTAGTCAGCTTGACGGCACCTGACAACCCAGTTGAGCAATGAGGCTTTGAGGCCTCATTGGTGGGGCATTGTGTTGCCATCCCCAAGGTGGGTGATCAGCATCTTCTAACTGTTCCATGGGAGAAAGAGGGAAGGCCTCTCCTATGTGATTTACAGCCTCTGAAAACTTGCTGAGGAGCGCTATGAGTCAGTTCAGATTTGATAGCACTGAGTTTGAGGCAAAGAGGACTCTACAACTCATGGATTAAAAAAACAGCCCTGTACTGATGTAAGAGAAACATTTTTATACTATCTTGAAAGAAAAAGAGACTTATCTAGTAGAATTATTAAACTGATGTCCTTTCCCATTTGTTGTTGTAATCTATGTCTGGAAGTTACTCCCCTTAAATCACAAGGTATGAATGGCATCAACTGTCTCCAAAATATTGATAAGACCAGCCCAGATAGTGAAGAAAATGACCAGGGTCCTGACCACTGACCAGGCCACCTAGACAAAAGGAGATACTTTAGAAGTCTTTCACTCCTTTCTATGAAGATGAAGCTGAAAGTGAAGAAGGAAACCCCTGCCCCTCCCAAAACTTAAGCCAAAGCAAATGCATTAAAGGCCAAGAAGGCAGTCCTGAAGGGCATCCACAGCAAAAAAAAAAAAAAAAAAAAAAAGAAGATCCACACGTCACCCACCTTCCGGTGGCCTAAGATGCTGAGACTCCCAAGGCAGCCCAAATACCCCCAGAAGAGCGCCCCCAGGAGAAACAAGCTTGACCACTATGCCATCATCAAATTTCCCCTGACCACTGAGTCAGCCATGAAGATAGAAGATAACAACACACTTGTGTTCATTGTGGATGTCAAGGCCAACAAGGCACCAAATTAAACAGCTGTAAAGAAGCTCTATGACACTGATGTGACTAAGGTCAACACTTTGATTAGGCCTGATGGAGAGAAGAAGGCCTGTGTTCAACTTGCTCCTGACTATGATGCTTTGGATGTTGCCAACAAAATTGGAATCATCTAAACTGAGTCCAGCTGGCTAATTCTAAATATAAATTTTTCTCACAAAAAAAAGAAGTCTCTCACCCACCACTATCTTGTCCCTCCTTGCATAAACCCCTAGAGTCTCCAAGACATGGAGATGCTATCTCCTGTATGCTAGTACATAATAACACTTCTGTTATTTCCACTTCAACACCTGTCTTCAAGATTGGCTTTTTTTTTCTCAGTAGGTTGCAGAACTCTGGTTTCTTGGCAAGGATTCCTGCAACCAATTAAATTTTAATCTTGAAGGTGAACCCCAGGCATCAAGGGTTCTTAAACCTCTCAGCTGGTTC